GTAATCTTTTGCGATACATGCAATTTGAGGCAAATCTCTATGACTTAACTATAGTAAATTTATAAGTGTAAACAATTTTTATTGTGAAAGATTAAATAATTATGATATTATATATTGTATGTCAGTTTCCGTGAAATTAAGGAAAGAAAAAAAGAAATTTTGTATTTCTTGTCGCATAAGTCTTTGAGAGAGAGAGAGAGAGAGAGGGAGAGAGAGTAGCGAGAGAATTAAAAATGCGCGTTTATATAAGTATTTATGCTTTGGAGAATGTAATAAGTATAATAAATATAAATGTTGGCATTTATTTTTATTAATTAATAGAAACATTTTTATTTTTTATATTACGTTTAATACGATTTAAATATACAGCTTTATATCGATTTTCAATTTTTCGCCTTTACCTTCCACAGAAGAAAGGCACAACTTCCACGAAGCACGATAGAAAATGTTATCGAGCCGAACGGAAACTAAATAATGTCACTTGAGCACATACTCTTCGAATATAAGTTAACGCGACCCGGTCAGTTCTAAAGGACTTCTCGCGAAGCTTCGCGATCGTATCTTCCTCCAGTTCATGAAAGTACGGCGGTCCAGCTTCATCGTCGTCGTCGTCGGATCGTCCATCAAAGTTCCGACCAAGTTTGCGTCCCGCGTCACAACATTGTCGTTCTTTCTCTCGATTCCGACTTTTCGGTTCTTCCTTTTTCGATGAGGAAAAGAATCGTCCAGAATCCACTACGATAAACCAGTGCGATTCTATTCTCTTTCTTCCCGTCTCTTTCTTTCTACCTTGCCTTTCCATATCTCCGTTAAACTTCTTTTCTCTCTTATCCCAATTTCTCCGCCACCGTTCGTTTTTATTCCCCCGCTCTCGCACCGTGATTCTTTTTTCCCTCCATCTATACGCTTCGGCGATAATAACCGGCGAACCAACGGTGCAAATCTTCAATCTCGTTTGGCAAATGGCCGATCTCGAAGCTACGTTCGCCAGACGGGACAAAAGAACAAGAAGAAGAAGAAGAAGTCCTTCCTTCCATATATGTCTGTAGCTGTGAGCCCGCGGAAATTTTCCGTTAGATAAGACCACATTGTTTGCCGGCGCGCAACTTCTTCCGCACGTTGTTTCTCTTTTCCTTTTTTTTTTTCCGCACATCGCACCGTTCTCCTCCAAATGCGTTCGACATCGTTTCCATCAGTTACTACCCGTTCCGCGTTTTGGCGAACGTCTACGCGAAGAAGAGAGATTTATAAGCGATGACACGTGAAAGTGGTCCATTTGCATCTCGCAAGCCGCTGAGCGTGACGGCGTATCGATTGCCCGTGAAGTATAATATTTTCTTCGGTCTTTAAGATGCCAGCGAGCTATTTCATACCGCGACTTTCTCGCAGAAGAGATTCGCAGCGAATAAATTGAAGTTCTTTGAATACGTCATATTAGGCAATTTTTGAAAGAAGAAATTCCGAAGTTTTGGAGAGCGGTAAATCTAACGAATTACGAAGTAGATATTATAGATCTCTTTATTCTATACGCGCTTTACCTAACTTGAGTAATACACTTGCACGGTATATGTCATTATAATATTGCAAACAATATATTTCACTTTGTTCCGTAAATCAACATTAATCAGGGTAAAACTGCATAAAAGATAACACATCTCCGATTTTATCATCACTTAAATATGTTGTAGGGGAGGTTCTTCTGAGTAATTCCCCGCAAGAAATAAGTAAGGGGCGGCATTGGTTTAGAAGATATAACAAATTGAAGTTTGACATTAAAGTATGCGTATGCTGTATAATTTGTTATTTTTTCATTGAAAAAAATTGTTTGATATTTATACGTGGACGGGGGAGGGGCTCCGCCAATTTTATGCAGTTTTACCTTAATCAGTTACGTAGATCATTATTTGTTAAAGTATGTGTTTCAATGAGTTTGTTTAGATTCTTCTCGACTTCGGGGGATTCCATCAATTCTTGGTTTCCAATTTATCGCATCGCTTTTGATAATATCATTGCAATCGTGTCGCGCCAATGTTGCAATCCTTCAGGTTCGTTCAAGGAATACAATTTGCGCGATCAATAGGAAAACCGTCAAAGCGGAAGCTTCCCTGCGCTTCCGCGCGAAGCTGGCTTTAAAACGACAAGGATGTTCCTAGGAAAGAAACAATGTTGTTGGACGGTCTTATCTCTTGCTTTCCGTCTTTCTCGTCTCTCTTTCTTCTTTCCAGGCCTGTTATTCTTTGTCTTCTAAACATACGACGCAGCAGGTAAACGTTCAACCAACATTGTAAATTTCCGGCATTGTTTGGAAGCCGACTAGATCCCAGAATCCACCTGTATTGTCACGTAAAACGAGAGGAAAAGGATGGTTAAAACGTCGATTGTATCGAAACTATTGAAATATCTGTCGCAATAGGTGAAATTTTATAGCGATTTTCTCTCTCTAATATACACGCTTCTCTACCAAATATATGATAGGCTCAAATCTTTTGCAATATCTTCTTCTATTCCATTACTAGATTTCATCTTCAATGAAGTACAAATATACATATATATTATAATTGGATATTAATGAAATATAAATTTAGATAATTGTATTGAAACTTATGTATATATAGTCGATATCGACTCAGCCCCCCCACCAAAAGTATTAAATTCCTGCGCAGTGCAACGAGCTCAAAATTTTTAATTTGCGGGATATGAAAGCTCATAAATAGCTCATAATTGTGCGCTATCTGTTTTTTTATTTTTGCAAGGTGGGGGGGGGGGCTAGCTCGATAGGGGGGAAATCAACTCTCTCTGAAATGAAATTAGCTTTTAATTCCCAAGTTCTATCTTTGTTCTCCGCTTCTTGTAGTCCTGGTAGAGATACAATCTTTCTCTCTCTCTTTCTCTCTCTCTCTCTTTTTCAGATTTTAATTTAACTTTATTATCGTCTTAATTATTCGCTGCATTAGTTAGAAGGAAAATTATTTTTGTCGCGCATCAAATGTCGCGATTATTCGTTATTCGAGGAAATAATTTCTATCTGGCTTTGAATATTATTCGGATTTTCTTGCCTGTTCTCTCGATATACATTTTGCCAATTATATTTTTAATTTTCATGTTTTGATGAACGCAAAGAAAATGCAATGTATAATAAATAAACTAATAAAAATTAAACTAAATTTTGCCCGTTGATACATATCTAGCATTTATTTATATATTTTTCTCGCTCTATTCCGTTTGATCTTGTAATATTTATACAATAACTTAATTACCGGAAGATTCTCGCTTGATGTTACTGGTATTGAATATTTACTTGCTTCAAAGCGGGGAATGTACATATACATATGTTGATATCGCCCTGTATCAAAGCCGTGAATCTAACGTCTACTCAGAATCGATCAAACATTTATAAACTGCACACGCGAGGAGAACTAAAAAGATATTGAAAATGTGCGTTGAAAGCATAGCGCGTTGTGCGTTGCAAAAGCGCCGCACGATATAACAAGTTTTCGTTGCTAGTCATGACCAAAAAAAAAATTTGATATGAAAAAGTTCGCGGTACGCAAATAAAATTGTTCGCCTGTAATCGAGTCCTTGAGAGGAAAAGCTGCGTCGTGGAAAATCCCGAACACCGATATTTGTCGGTTGTGCATACGTCGCGTTTCCTTTACGAAACTGTCTGCATAGCAAATCTTTAAAATGACGCAGGGAAAAAATTTTAATATGACTTATATCGTGGATCATTAAAAATCTTCCTATTTAAATTTAATTTCTGATTTCGGACTATGTTTACTATTACGTTGAAAAAGTTTAACCTTTGATATATGAAATAACTTTTATAATTGCACTATCACATAAGTAAGAAAGTTTCAGTGCCAAATTCGTCAAAGGATAAAAAATTGAATCGTAAAAATTCTTTCACATGTAAAATCTGAATATACGCCGATCTATTAATATCCCTGGTGAAATTCGACTTCGCGCGTGAGAGCAATTTTTCACGGGAAAACCATAGAAATCATCGTCGCAAATGTATTTTCGCGTAAAAAGCTCGAGTGTCACGACAGGGCTGATGCTTTTCGTCGCGAGGCGACGGTGACGAATTCAGGATGACAGGGTCGGGATACGCGAAACGTCGTCGTCGACGAGGTCGTCCGCGAGCGGAAAGACGCGTCGCGTGCACCAGCGGGAGAGAATATGGGCGAATTTAATTTCTACGTAACATTACACCTTAGGAGCCTTGCCAGCGGCGCCATTGTGTGTGCCTTCGGGGATCGGCCGCGAAGAGACACTCGATCGCAGGACTCCATTTGCGGTTTAGCATAATGGAAACCCAACGCGCCCCGGGGGCCATCCGCGTTCCCTGTCCTCCTCACCCCCTCCGGGCATCCCGCGCGCGTCTCGCCTTCTGAATCTACTTCGTTCTCGTATTCTCTCTCCCGCTATGTGCTTGCACGACATAAGAATGGGCGAGAATAAGTAAGCCGAGAGAAAACATGGCGAGAAAGATAACCCGGTATTTTGTCGTCGTACCATTCAACGTCAGGCACGGGCCGCTGGTCATCTCGAATGAGAGAACGAGTAATCGTTCCGCTTTTCAATTGTGCGAGCGTAACATCGGTTATGAATTTTTACTCGAAATGTGTCCATAACGTTTGCGATGGTAAAAGATAGATCCGTTTTTGACATTTCAAAGAATGATTCTTCACTAATTTTCTTCACTAAAGATTTTTTCACTAATTAATCGTTATTATTTTGCAAATATAAAAGAATGCTACACATTCAGTTTATTTTATTTTATTTTATTTTTTTTTTTGTTATTAATGCTAATTACTGCTGATGATACTGGTCGTTTTAGTTTCTAGATCTTTATCACAGTGCAATAAATATCCTCGAATCACCCGGCAAATGTGTGTCTGCTGTGGCTCAATGATAGCCATCATGTCTGACGAGACTCTTTGCGAGATTCATTTTCGTTGACGAAACCGAGTCTTACGTCTTATCTCTTATTCTTACAGGGAGGCTGTGATGAGGGAAGTCGGCTAAGAAGAGCCCGTGTCGCGCAAGCGCCGGTAGAAGAGTATAGGAAAGATGCCGCTTTCCTCGAGAGTCTTATTAAGCCCGCTGCTGCTTCTAATCATCGCAGGAAGCACCGGCGCCTTCAGCTCCCGGCAAGGAGGTAAGAAACCTTCGTTTCTTGAACGACGTTTTGTGCCCGGCGGGGAGACAATGACGATGGCACGGACGACGACGACGACGACGACGACGACGACGACGACGATGAGACGGCGGTGACGATAGTCGTTACGAATTCCGCCTTTTCGTGGCTACGACGAATTTCCACGAGAATAATCGCGGTCTTATACTTTCTCTCCCCCTTCTCGTCGCGAAATTCGTCGCTAGATGTTCCGTTGTATCTTCAAGTTTTGAGATAGCGCGTATTTCCGTCTCTGCACAGCATCCGCCTGTCAATTTCACGCTATTTGCACATTTGCCGACAAGCGTGAAAATACGTTATCGCGCGTTATTCGTTTGTTTATTTCACGCACGTTTCCTTGTCAATCAGACTGGGGAGAATTTTCGTTGCGTATTTTCGATACAAAAATGTTTTAATAAGATGTTTTAATAAGTTAATCAATTATACCGAGCAGAAATATATAAGAAAAAAAGAGTTTGTTTGGAGAAAAGATATCTCTTTATATGTGCAATATGTGTACAATAATCGTGGGGCTTCTATATATTTTCTTCTAAACATTTCCGATCTTTTAGCTATAAACTTTGTATATATGTGTGGACTTATTTCGAGAATCGTGTTCACAATTACTCATTTCGGAATAGATGTAGATAAAAGGATGCGCGTATCGAGAGGACAACGATATAAGCAAAATATTTCTACATCTCTCAGTATATTCATCCATTAATATCATCCATTTCTCTTATTCCTCTCCCCCTCCTTTCTCTCTCTTTATTTCTCTCTCTTTCTCTCTTTCTATTGCTCGCTTTCGTTTTAGTCGTCTCTTCTCTGGCTGCATTTGTGGAGAGAATACCTCTTAGTGACCATTTCCTAGATTAAGGTCACCTGAAAAGCAAATAGTTGTTAAAGGAACGACAGAGAGAAAGAGAGAGAGAGAGAGAGAGAGAGAGAGTACACAGGAGAAAGAGGAGCTCTGAGTAGTCTCACGGATGGCGAACTTCCGGTATATACGTTCCTGGAAAACTATTATGCGCGAAGGTCCGTTGCATTCGAGAGAAACTTGGCGTACTAGAAGATACGAGCGAACGCTGGACAAATTGTCCTACGATCCTCGCGATTCGCCAATGACGGTAAATCCTTCGTCGCACTCCGGACAATGCATTCGATCGATACCATGCTGGATCAGTGGTTTCCAATCTTTTCCGAGATACAAACTCTCGCATGATAAATAATCCCGGGAGCGAAATCATTTCATTACTTATGTATACAATTAATCCAAGCGTTTTACATGAAGCGCATACTTATAAATGGTATTTCTCATTTTCCTTTAATTACAATATAGTCCTTATAAATCGATAGCCTTTCTGCATTCAAAGCATAATTATTTCAAGGGAAACTAAAAAATTGTAGACCGTATAAAAATAGAAGGGACAGGAAAATTGTAATGGAGAATCACATATCGGGAAGTTTCAATTATGTGATGCTCACATTCAGTGTGATTTATCAATCGAATGCCAGACACGGACAAAATTCCGTCTGAACGAGTATATTTCTCGCAATTTGCCGTTGCGTAAAAATAGGTTTTATATCGGATTTTTAATTTATTAAAGATCCTTCACACATTTTATTTAAACTCACTACCACAAAAACGTTAGGAGATTATAAGTAGAGGAAAATAAATTTCCGAGACCGTTATATATATATATATACATCGTAGAACGAAATTCAAGTAAATATTCGAACATATCGAGTAAAATAGATTTCCAATATTGAAGAAATAGGAGGAAATGTCGATTGCCGTAGACAGAACCGTCTGCACCGCAGACAACAAGCAGATTTTCGAAGCGTCTTGGAAATATATATATGTATAATATCGGCAGTAACACGGTTGAACTTTACCAACTTTGTCTCAGTCCTTGTCACCGCCTTGGTCGTTTCACCGCGATGACATGCCCCACAATGATCAGCGAACCGGTTACGCGCGCACACACCCTTGTTCCACATTCGCGAACGCAAACACGCGATTTTCCGGAGTGGTTCGACTTTGAATCCGACCCGGTTCCGCATTTAGGTCAGAGCCCTAACGCGGCCATTCTCTCGAAAGGGCAAAAAGTCACCCTCCGCCGAACGTTTCTCGGGCGGACGTTGATTAGCTGGAAATTTATGCGCCCTCGAATTGGACGCTGACATCCGGCGGCAAATTCGTGGTCGTCGCGCTGAGAGAGAAAATGCCGCGTGGTTTAGGAGGAATTTGGTCGCCGTATAATCGTGGCGCAAACAAGATTATCTGATCGAATTTTAACGCGATGCCTCGCGTGTATGCGATTCCTGGCCGACGACGAGGCGAAGCACTCGTAAATATTCGTGCTCTGTACACGATCGTGTGTGTTACAGACATGAACGTGTGTTCGAGCGTGTTTCCGTTCAACTTAGCGAGACGAGGCGACAGCGATGGCGACGACGACGACGACGTCGACAATCTCGAGCGACGAATTTACAGCGTATAAACACGTTGTCCTAGTTATCTCGCTCGTGCTTTCGCGGAGTCTCCTATCCTTTTATTACATTTTCCCTATCGCTTCCTTCCCCCTTCTCACGCTATTTGCATTTCGCTTTTTTCTCCGTCGCCTGACGCCGCTGCCTTATCTTAATATTAGCGAATTTAAGCAAACGCGCGCACACGCATCTTTCAGAATGTTTACTTTCGAGCGTCATGAAGACCGTCTCGCGGAAGAAGGTTTTATAGCTTATGTGAATATCTATCGATGAAATTCGACACTTGACGTTGTTTGAAATTCATGAAAAAGATTACGTAACTCTCTTTGACGAAATAAAAATATTAATATTAGTATTAGAAAAAGCTATCATACTTGTTTTTAATATTTAGATAAAACGTATTGTATATAAGATTGAATTTATTTGAATACAATGTACTTTTTATTTCAATAGATTTGGAAATTCTCATTTATTTATTTTTTTTTTCTAATTCTACTTTAAATCTGTATGCAAAGTTCAGATACATTTTGTAGAAAATGGCTTTGGACGTTATCTAAAATCTTAGAATTTCCACTTTCAGATTTTCATACAATGTTTCTAAATGTCTTTTATATCCCGTGAAATCTGCATTCTTGGAATTATTTAATGGTAATACCTTTTTCCATTTATTTTAATTAAAATAAAAACGCTTTATGAACTCTTTGATGTTTCGCCATTTTGTATTTTATAATGTGATAATATCAAGAGATTAAGATATTTTCTCTAGCGTCGATTTGAGATTCAAGAATAAGGAGGCGAAACCAAAGCGGATTATAATTGCTACGGGGTTGACAATTATCGTGAGCACGAATCGTCGTCATTGTCGCGATTATGTACGGCAGTTTCGGCGGTTGCGAAATACGATTTCGTGATAAAACGGCTTGCGCCACGGGCGACGCGCGGGCCCTCCGCATCATATGGAGGTATGTACGAGTATACAATTAAGCGAATATCATGAGGTTAATATCCCTTCTCCTCCTTCTCCTTCTCTTGCGCGAAAGGCTCTGTTTGTTAGTCGCGAGAGACCTCGCTTTGATCTTGCTAGGAACCAGAAGGCGGGATGTTGTACGACGCGACGAACGGCGTGCTGCGCATATCCCGTTAACGAGATCGTGCTTGCAAGAGCAGCTCTTGCACCTCAAGTGCAACAAAGGACGAAGGTGAAAGAAGGGTGAACGAGAAGCAGGGGAGTTGGATACAGCCCGTCATCCAACCCTCCCATCCCCCCCGGAGTCGGGCTTGTCGCACGTTTCGCGTCACATTTTCGAACTTTACCGTTTCCTCCTCTTTTTTGCGACTCTTTTTCTCCTTCCGCTTCTTCATCTTTTTCCTCTTCTTCTTCTTGCGACTATTCTCCCCTCTTCCCCTCTATCTGGCAGTTTTCCGCGTTTCTGACTTTCCCTCTCTTCTGCCATTCGCCAAAGTAGTTGTCAGATAAAATTCGCCGACGAGCGAAGTCCCAGGAGCGCGAGGAGAATTCCATGTAACCACGGAGACGATAAGAAATGGATGCTGCGAAATTTCAGAATAGGAAAGACAAGAGAGAGAGAGAGAGAAATGTATTATATTTCCACCCGCCTTGCGCGCCCTCCCCTATACTGTCGCTTCTTGCTTCTCGACTGATACATTTTTTATTCCCGTGGACGCTGTTTGCTTTTCTCACGCGACGCCTACGCGATTCTCTCTCCGATCTCTTTGCGAGATAAATGCCTGTCTTCGTGACAAGCGCTTCTTTATTCATCCTCGATAGAAACTTGCCCCATCAAAAATTACGAGATATGACACACTTCACATTTTACTCATGAGCATCATAGCTGTTCAAGTTGAGAAGAATATTCTGGGATTGTTCTCCCGGGAAGAGAAACTATCGAACTAAACACAAAGTTCACGCGCGCAACTTTTTCTTTAAGTACATATTATAATAAATACGTATTTATCAATGATTCAATTTTGTGGCATACATCATGGTATTTCGATTATATAGAAAATGCAATATTATGATAATAAATCCAATCAAATTAATATTTGCATTATGCTTTACATTATTGTGGTTCGTACTAATCACGATGACGTTAAAATAGACGCTACATGTCATGCACTTCTAATAGAAACATAATATTAATCGCGGAATAATTATAAATTATTAATATGTTAATTTGTAATTCTATGTACATAGAAATGCATTATTGATATTTAAATTAATAATTACAAGTTACAGATTATTTCTCTAAATTTGTGATTATATACAATCGAGAAAGGGAGAGAGATTAATATTATTTATAATATTATATATAACTATTAGTATCTGCAGGCTGCATATCACCAATTGCAATATTTAATTACGTTTTTCCTTCGATTTTTTGTCATATAATCTGAAAGATAAGAAATATTATAAAAATAATTTTTTCAAGAGATAATTGACCCGACATATGTAACTCAGTTTTATGATA